AGTCGACGCTGATCGACGCGAATTGACGCTAGCCGACACCAAATCGGCGCTAGATGGACGCCAGTGCACGCTAAAGCGGCACTTTCTCTCCCTCCTCATTTCGCCTTCCTCCAGTTTCTCATGCTCATCGCTCCTCATCCTCCCCCCGTTCATCATGCTCCAGTGGATGGAAAAAACGTAGACCCCCGTAATTTTCGATCCCATGTTCGGCCGCCACTCCCTGCCCAAAGTTCCAAATTGGCATTGGACTCATGACAGCCCTGGAAGGCCCACCTCCTCGCCTTTTCATGCTTGTGCCGCACTATCTCTGGGGCGAACAAAAACAATTATGAATGGGGGGGGCAGGGGGGTCGTAAGGTTTCTTAGGGCCCAGACCACGAAATGCCCAGAATTCCTGGGCGTGAGCGCGTAAGGGGTGACCCGCGTGGGCCGCTGGGACGGTCCCCTCGCTCAATAGTGACCCCAAAACGGACCAAGAGAGCAGGAGGCCGCCCGCACAGTCCAAAAGGGCCCAGGCTCGCCAAGAGATCGCTCCAAGACGCCTAAGATGGCCTCCAAGACGTCCCAAGAAGCCTCCAAGTCGCCCCAAGAGGCTCTCAAGAGCACTCCCAAGAGGGCCCCAAGAGGCAAGAAATCATTCAATGTCCTTCTGGCCTTTTCGGCCTTTTCGGCTTCCTGACGCTCAAAGACGGCCCAAAAAGACCCAAAGATCGTCCCAAGACGGCCTAAGAGGCCGCGAAGAGTGCGCCGAGGCAGCACTAGAGGCTCCCACGACGGCCCAAGAGGCCTCCAAGATGGCCCAAAAGCGCCCCAGAACGCCCCAAAAGGGGCCCCAGAGGGAACACGAGGCGATATTTCGAGCTCACTGCCCAAGAAGCTCCCAGAGGCCCCAAAACTGCCGCAGAGAGGCCCCCTCGAGAGCCCCCCGAAAAGAGACCCGAGAAGCATCCACGAGGCCGCTGACCCACAGCCCAGGCACGGCAGCGGGGTGGGCCGAAGGCCGTAGGATTTGGCAGGCGAAGAACGGTATCAAACAACTGTTACGTCACCAGGGGCGCCTGTCCCAGGGCCGCCCTGGGACAGGGTAAGGTAAGGATATAAACTTTAGGATATAAACTTCAGGTTATAACTTTAGGATATAAACTTTAGGATATAAACTTTAGGATGCAAACAGGGAACTGAAGTGCCACGGTAAGGATATAAACTTTCAAGCCGCCCTGGGACAGGCGTCCCCGACGGCGAAAGGTTTGTTTCCTACTGTTCTTCGCCCGCTGATATAAATCGCCGCCAACCCTGCGGCGTGTGTGAGACGACGTCGTCGCGTTCGTCGTCGCCGTCGCCGCCAATCCCAAGAAAATTGAGGAACGAACAGAGCAAAGAAACGGCGTAGTTAAGTCGATTCCCTTCCCTGTTTCCCTTCCCTGACGGGGGGGGTCGGGGGGGGGGTGTAGGAGGAGGGGTACGGTCCCGAGTCAGATTGCCGCCCCCCAGGGGTCCTGGGCGGCGGTCCCACCTGTGGACAGGGGCGACAAGGAGGGGTCCGGAGTGAGCCTGCCCCAGCCCCGAGCTCCCGGTGGGGGCCCCCCGAGTCCCAGGGGGGGGTCCCGCCTCCAGGGTGGGCGGCACCGGCCGTGAGGCCTGGCCCGCAGAACATCTCCTGGCCACGGGCCCAACCCTTTCTTTGCTCGTCTGCGGCTCTCCTTCGCCTCCTCCAGTTCAGGACTCACGAGGCGACTGAGACGGAGCTTCGTCCACGCGGAGGCAGAGAAGAGAAGACGCCCACCGCCGGCCGAGGTGCGGGACGGCATCCTGCCTCTCTTGCTGATCCTCGGCGTCCCGACCACCCTCCGGGACGAGCCCGAGGGGCTCCTCCTCCCCCGCGTGTGGCGACGAGCTGGGCCCGCGGCCGCCCGAGAGAGGAGGGAGATCGGCACGCGCAGGGCCCCGGACAGGCACGGTGGAGGTGCACGGATGCCTCCCCGGGCGGCGCACACGAGGCCGCCTCCTCCTCCTCCTCCCCTCCTCCTCCGCCTCCTCCTCCTCCTCCTCCTCCTCCTCCTCCTCCTCCTCCTCCTCCTCCTCCCTCCTCCTCCTCCTCCTCCTCCTCCTCCTCCTCCTCCTCCTCCTCCCCTCCGCCTCCGCCTCCTCCCTCCGCCTCCGCCTCCTCCGCCTCCTCCCCCTCTTCTTCTTCTTCTTCTTCTTCCTCCTCCTCCTCCTCCTCCTCCTCCTCCTCCTCCTCCTCCTCCTCCTCCTCCTCCTCCTCCTCCCCCTCCTCCTCCTCCTCCTCCTACGATCGCCGCCCAGGGAGGGAGGGTGTCCAAAAGAGGCGGCTTGGAGGGGGCGTGGCAGGCATGTGGGGAACCGTTCTCTGTACACCGACGTTTTTGTGCGGCCCTGCACGGACCTCTGCGCAAGAAAGCGGAGCCTGGTGTGTACGGGACCCTGGTGTATACATGTTCCAATGTTACCTGGGAAAACGGGGAAACAAGTATACGCTACACCACACCGACGTCGTCCCCGACCCTCAAAGAGTCCTGGGATTGGAAGACGGCCCGCCACTGGTAATGTATAGGCTCCAGTTTCCGAGCATGGGGCCACCGATCTCTGCGGGAGGCACTGGCTGACCCCGAAGGCCCCGGATCCAGGAGCGTCGGCGCCCCACCTCCGCCTCCGCAAGGGCGGAGCCGCCGCCGTCTCTCACTCCCGCCTCTGCCTCCGCCGGCCCCCCGCCAGGCCTCCGCCGGAGGCCGCCTCCCTCCTCCTCCCTCCTCCTCCTCCTCCTCCTCCTCCTCCTCCTCCTCCTCCTCCTCCTCCTCCTCCTTCCTCCCCTCCTCCTCCCCTCCTCCTCCTCCTCCTGCACCTCCACCTCCACCTCCACCTCCACCTCCACCTCCACCTCCACCTCCACCTCCACCTCCACCCCCTCCTCCACCTCCCTCCCTCCCTCCCTCCCTCCCTCCCTCCTCCCTCCTCCCTCCTCCCTCCTCCCCGAGGCCCCAGGGCGAGCATGCCAGAGCATCTGCGCATATGTTGCTGTCGGTCCTCTGACAGAGGCGGGACACGCCGCGAGCGCACGCGGGCGCGCCTGGCCGCTGGGGCGGTCGCGGCGGCTGAGGCGGGCCGCCAGGCCGCGGAGGCGGCGGGCGCGGGACTCGCGACGGGCTCCTCTCTGCTGGTCCTCCTCGGCGAGATCACTGCCGCCATCCCAACGCGCGCACGCCGTGGCAAGCGGGCGTTTGGTCGAGCGTTTGAATGGGAGCACACAATGCCTGGCGTCCCAAATGCTGATGCAGCTTTCCCTCCAAACATCCGGAGACTCAGCTAGACTCAACAAGCAAGGAGCGCAAGCACAATCTGTCGGAGGTCTGCCCGGAAGTCCCACCAGCCCTCTGGGCGTCGGTGGTTTAGGGAGTTTCCTCTTCCACCCCTCCTTTTTCCCCCTCGGGGAAGGGTTTACCTCTCCCCCTACCCCCCTCCCCATGGACCTGGACAGGGGGGGTTCGCGAGTCGTCGGAGCGTCCAAAACGGCCTCGGCGAGGAAGCCAAAATCATTGGTTTTACTACGGTTTTGGCCCCATGTTGGCCTCCTGGGGGGGACGCTACTCAGTGCTCCCCTCTTGTTTGATCGATCTTCTCCAAGATGGCCCCAAAAAAGCGCCCAGGAGGCCCCAAGAGGTCCCAACATGGCCCCAAGATGACCTCAAGAGGCCCCCAAGAGGCCCCCAGGAGGCCCCCAAGAGACCCCTAAGAGGCCCCAAGAGACCCCCCAGAGGCACCCAAGATGTTCCAAGAGGCCTCGGCAAGAATGCCAAATCATTGATTCTACGAAGGTTTTAGCCACATGTTGGCCTCTTGGGGGGGCACTGATTAAGATGACTCCAACAGCGCCTGAGAGAGCCCAAAATGACCTCCAAGATGGCTCAGGTTATCCCAAGATGTCATAATGGCTTCCTCTGTGTGCTGCCCACTTCCCTGATCAGGCAATTCCTCTGGGCATCGTTTCTGGATGGGCTGGTGGGGATTCTTTCTGGTTCTCCGCGTTCACATTTCGGTGCACCCATCACGAGGACCGTGGCCCTACGGAGACCTCCACCTACGGCCCCAGGAGGTGCGTCCACATAGCGTCCCCCGCCCATGTCGGCACACCTCTCACGAGGACCGTGGCCCCACGAGGAGCTCCACCTACGGCCCCAGGGGGTGCGTCCACACAGCGTTTCCCCCCCACGTTTCGGCGCCCACTCCACGAGAATCGTGGCCCCCAACGGGAGCTCCGCCTACGGCCCCAGGGGGTGCGTCCGCGCATAGCCTCCACCCGCACACTTCGCCGGCACGCCCCTCACGAGGATCGCGGCCCTGTGGGGAGCTCCACCTACGTGCGTCCACATCGCGTCCCTGCACCAGCTTCGGCGGCACACCCTTCACGAGGATCGTGGACCCCACACTCCACCTACAGCCCCAGGGGGTGCGTCCGCATAGCCTCCCCCCGCAAGCTTCGCCGGCACGCCCCGCCTCAAGGATCGTGGCACCCCAGCTCCACGTCGTCGTCGACGTCGCCGACGTCGTCGACGTCGGCGACGTCGACGACGTCGTTGACGACGACGTCGTCGACGTTGTCGTCGTCGTCGTCATCGTCGTCGTTGCCGACGTTGTCGTCGTCGTCGTCGTCGTCGTCGGGATCGACGTCGTCGTCGTCGTCATCGTGGTCGTCGTCATCGTCGTCGTCGCCGTCACCGTCGTCGTCGTCGTCGTCCTCATCGACGTCGTTGTCGTCGTTGCCACCTTCGTCGTCGTCGTCGTTTTCGACGTCGTCGTCGTCGTTGCCGTCGCCGTGGTCGTGGTCGTCGCCGTCGAAGTCGTCGTCGTCGACGTCGTCGACGACGTCGTCGCCGTTGCCGCCACCGTCGTCGTCGTCGTCGTCGTCGTCGTCGTCGCCATCGTCGTCGTCGTCTAGGCGTGCCTCCCGGCTGCACCGGCGCCGGCGCCGCCGCCGCCGCGGGCGCCCCCGTCGTCGCGGGCGGGGCCAGCGGAGGCACGGGCGCGGACGATGCCGACGCGGGCGCCACCGCCGCCGTGACTGGCGTGGGCGGCCGGAGCGGCTGCGTGGGCACGCCCGGGGGCGCCTGCCGCGTGGAGCCCGCCTCAGACAGGGAGGAGAGGCAGGTGGAGGCCCAGGCACGAGAGGCCTCCGAGTTGGGGCCCGAGTGGATGGGGTCGGAGGATCGCGCTGCATCGCCGATGCATCGCTGATCTATCGGCGATGCAGCGGCGACGTCGGCAGTGCATCGCCCACGTCGGCGTGGAGAAGATCGGGCTCCGCATCGAGCCGCATTGGCGATGCATCGACGATGCGGCACGATCCTCCGGCCCTATCGTTCCGCCGGCCCTATCTACTCGGGCCCCATCTGGGCGGCCTAGAGACATGCTCGACTCGGGGAGAAATCACTACGGCAGACCTTTGGCCGTTTTTCGACCTCAGATGGACCTCGCAGGGCCCCAGGACTGTCAAAAAACAGCTCGGGATGAAAGGCTGGCACTGGTGAAATGGTCGGTACCTCTGGTGGCCTGGCATTGAGAAAGTCAAGACATCAGCTGTCTAGGGGTGGGGCGGAGGTGGAGGCAGGGTCTTGAGAGAAATTCAAAGAAAGCGGGGCGGGAGCCCAGGAGATTCCAAGCTGGCGACACATGTGGTCATCGATGCGGCCAAGATTCAGTGAGCGAAGAGGGTCTTCTCCTGACTTGGTCCCTCGCCGGCCCAACTGTCCCCCCGCCCCCAGTAAGGCGCAGTGGCCACAGTTCCAGCCGTGGCGTTGCCAAGGGTCCGGGCCATGGGCGTGCCGAGGTGGGACCCGAGCACCCCATCTTCGGGGAACGTCTGATCTGGAGCACTTGTGGCATCCCCCGAAGCGAGGTGGGGGAGGGAGAGCACCAGGCAGCAGGAGCAGGAGGGGAAGCTGGAGTGGGGGCCCGAGCGGAAGCGGGGGCGGGAGCAGGAGCAGGTCTGAAGAGGAGGACGAAGAGGGGCGGAGGAGAGGGGGGGAGGGACTGGCGGGGCTGAGGCTCTGTTTCTACCGTCCTCACCATTGTGCTGCTCTCCGCTTCCCGCTTCCACTTGGACCTGCTGTCCCTCGTACTGGGACAGGCTTCAGCTTTGAAATGTCTTTCGGATGCGAGAAACAAGGATCTTCGTAAGTCGCTCACATGTTCTCGCTATGTGACTCCTCTTGAACAGAGCACGGCTCACAGGGCATGCAACGGCGGGAACAGGATGCGGAGGGGGACAACACAACGAGTACGACGAGGACACACAACCATAAACACCTCATGGGACAGAGTTATCACAACATCATCAGCCCAGGAACGGCCTAACAGCCGAGTCCTTGGGCCTCCACCCAACTGGTTGCATAGGCAGAACGATGAAGAGGCGCACGAGGGCGGGGAAGGGGTGGGGGAAGCAGGTACGTAGTCGCCAGGGGTCGCAGCTGGTCGCCAGAACTGGGTGGCTGCTGGGGCCCTCCCCTGGGAACGGCTCTCTATCCTCAGCTGTCCTTGCCGACGAGCCCCCGGACCCGCGGCAATGGCCCCCGCCGAGGCCGAAGAGAGCACAGAATCTCGGATGCCAGCCTCCCTTGGGAACCCAGTCCTCAGTCGTCGTCGTCGTCGTCGTCCTCGTCGTCGTCGTCGACGTCGTCGTCGTCGTCATCGTCGTCGCAGCCACCGTCGTCGTCGTCGTCGTTTTCGACGTCGTCGACGTCGTCGTCGTCGCCATCGTCGTCGTCGACGTCGTCGTCGTCATCGTCGTCGTCATCGTCGTCGTCGAGGTCGTCGTCGTCGTCGTCGTCGTCGCTGAGGGTCGGCGGCACTGGCCGTAAGGCCTCTCCAATCTCGGATGCCCACTCCCCTTAGGATCCCAGTCCTCCGCACTGGCGAGGGGGTCTCTTGGAAGGGATCGGCCACTCTGACGTCATGCGCCCCACACCCTCCCAGACCCCCGACATCGTTTTTTCCATGGCGTCGACCCCCAAAGGTCTGGACCCTTGCCCTGGGACCGGCTTTTCATCCGGAGTCGTTTTTGTTGCATTCCCGACGCCTGGTAAAGGCCCCCAGAAGCCGAAAGTAGCGAAGACCTTCCCGTCGCGATTTTTATCCTGAGTTATTTGTTGACAGTCCCGAGGCCCGGCAAGGGCCCCCGGAGGCAGAAAATACAACCCCCCTTAACATAGCCAATCCCTACCCTGACCTGACCCAGGCCCTGTCGACACTGCGCCAAAGCTAATCTGACCCATTAAAATTAACGTGGCCAACGGCTCGACGACACCAGGGTGTCACGCGCGCTGTAGCAAATGATGCTCCAGAATGAGGCGACGCAGCAACATGCAATGCAGAAGTGCCAATTGTATCACTAATCCCTCTCGTTTCCAATGAAGAATCTGGAAGGCGCTGAAACGAGAGCAGCTTTCGCAATCATGGATGTGGCTGGCGCGGCGGCGAGAGCAACAGTCTCAATCATGGACGTGGCCGGCGCTAGGGCGAGAGCAACTTTCGCACTCGTGAATGCGGCTGGCGCTAAGGCGAGTATTTTTCGTAATCGTGGGTAAGCGACAACAAAATTTGCAATCATGGATGTGGCCGGAGCCAAGACGAGAGCAACACTCGCAATCGTGGATGTGGCCGGCGCTGAAGCGAGAGCAACATTCGCAATTGTGGATGTTGCCAGCGCCAAGGCGACAGCAACACTCTCGCAATCGTGGATGTGGCCGGCGCTAAAGCGAGGGCAACATTCGCAATCGTGGATGTTGCCAGCGCCAAGGCGAAAGCAACACTCGCAATCATGGATGTAGCTGGCGCTGAGGCGACAGCAGCCGTCGTAGTCGTGGATGTGGCTGGCGCTGAGGCGACAATGACGCTCGCAATGACGGATGTGGCAGGCACTGGAGCGGGAGCAACGGTCGCAATCATTGACGTGGCCGGCGAAGATGCGAAAGCAAAATTCGCAATCATGGATGTAGCCTGCGCTGCCAACCATGGATGCGGCATGGGCTAAGGCCAACACAAACTCGATATAGTGGATGTGGCCACTGGTGAGGCGAGAGCATCCGTCGCTATCGTGGGCGAGGTGTCCCACTGACCACGCGCACTGGCTCTAGCGCAACCAGCAGCGCCACTGAGACGAGCAGCGCCAGAAACAGCAGCACCATGCGCAGCAGCAACTGCACCAAAGCCAACAACAGCAAAAATAGTAACTAGTGCAAGCCACACAAGCGACTCCAGCAGTACCTCTCTAACCAACACGAGAGCAGACAGAACCACCACCACGCGCACCAGTACCAGCGACACTAGCAGCACCAGTATGACAACCACGACGAAGAATGGAGCAGCGGCACCACGCGACCCAACACAAGCGCCACCAGCAGCAAAATTGTCACCACAACGACAGCAAACAGCAACACCAAACGCAGCAGCGCCAGCGTCACCTGCAGCGCCACTGTGACGAACACGACGGGGAGCAACAACGCCACGGAAAACAACTTAAACGCAGCAAGCAGTACCAATGTGACCAGCACCACGAAAAACAGCAGCACTACGCGCACCAGCACACGCGCAAGGAGCAGCACCGCCGTGACTCGCACGACAGGATCCAGCAGCACGACACTCGCCAATACAAGCACCACCAACAGCGCCACTGAAGGATGTCGCCAGCGCCTAGGCGACAGCAGCATTTTCAATCAGATATTTGGCTGGCGCCAAGGCGAGAAGAACATTCTCAATGAAGGACGTCGCTGGCGCCTAAGCGGCAGCCGCATGTTCAATCAGATATCTGGCCCACGCACAGGCGAAAACAACGCGCTCAATGAAGGATGTCGCTGGCGCCTGAGCGGCAGCAACATTTTTGATCTGAGATATGGCCAACGTACAAGCCGGAACATCATTCCGAGACAAGCGTGTCGCCAGAATGCAGGTGTCACGTCTATTCCGCGCGGACCAGGCTCAGTGTCACCGAGATCTGGGCTACGTTAGGTGGATAGTCCACGTTAGGGAGGGGTGTTGTAGCGAGTGATTTTGTCCCAACCATCCTGTCTGTAGTGTTGGCTCCTCGGTTTGAAGAGACGGTCCCCGCGTTCCTCTCCTTTCCTCCCCTCTCCTCTCCTCATCCTCCCCCTCCTCCTCCTCCTCCTCCTCCCTCCTCCCGTCCCCCCCCCCTCACTTTGGCACACCCCTCACACGATTCATGGCCCCATAGGGAACTCCACTGAAGGCCCCATTGGAGGTGCCCGCATGCGTCCGCCAGCCAGTACAGCGCTTCGTGGCCCCATAGGGAACTCCACTAAAGGCCCTTGTGGGGGTACCCGCATGCGTCCGCCACACCCAATACAGCGCTTCGTGGCCCCATAGGGAGCTCCACCGAAGGCTCCACTGGGGGTGCCCGCATGCGTCCGCCACACCCAGTACAACGCTTCGTGGCCCCATAAGGAACTCCACCGAAGGTCCCAGTGGGACCGCCCGCATGCGCCCGCCACCACCAGTACAGCGCGTCGTGGCCCCATGCGGGGCTCCACCGAAGGCCCCAGGTGGACCACCCGCATGCGTCCACCACACCTTATACAGCGTCTTGTGACCCCACAAGGAACTCCAGCGAAGGTCCCACTGGGGGTGCCCGCATGCGCCCCTCCCACCCAGTACAGTGCTTCGCGGCCCCATAGGAAGCTCCACCGAAGGCCCCAGTGGCACCGCTGCGTCTCCCCCACCCAGTACAGCGCTTCGCGGCCCCATCGGGAGCTCCAGCGAAGGTCCCAGTGGGACCGCCCGCATGCGCCCGCCACAACCAGTACAGCGCTTCGTGGCCCCAGATTGGAGCTTTACCGAAGGCCCCAGTGGGACCGCCCGCATGCATCGCCACAACCCACGACAGCGCGTCGTGGCCCCACAGGGAGCTCCACGGAAGGCCCCGGTAAGACCGCCCGCATGCGTCCCCCCCACCCATTACGGCACGCCCCATCACGCGTTACGTGGCTCACGGGAAGCGGCACCCACAACGCGCTACTCACAACTACATATGGCTGGGACTTTCGCCTGGATAATTTTCACAGCGCGAGGGGGGCTGGGTTCTGGAAGGCCGCCTGCCCCACTGGCCACGTCCCAGACATGTGCACGCGGACTCTCTCTTCAAAGTCATCCCCTGTGCTGTCCAGCGAGTCAGAGCCCAGGCCAGCTGCAACGGACAATTCCCGCGCGGCACGCCTCCCTCCGTCGCGGACGACTGAAGGGGCCCTGGGACACACGAATAAATACACACAAATAACCGGATTCCCCATAAGTTCCCCATATTTTCTGGGTTCTTGTCCTCCTCCCCACTTCCCATACCTTTCCATAGTTTTTCCTGAGAGTCGACGATTCATTGTGTGTCTGTGTGCTCCCTCCCCTACTGAAGACGACACCTCCTGCCCTCCCCCCTCGCTGCGCGCCGCCGGCTGCAGAGCACCCCTCCCCCCGGGGCGCGGCGCGCACCTGGCCGCCCGGCGCCAGGAGGGCGGCCTGCGCCCCCGGGCCGCGGGGGGGGAGAGGAGGAGGAGGAGGAGGAGGAGGAGGAGGAGGAGGAGGAGGAGGAGGAGGAGGAGGAGGAGGAGGAGGAGGAGGAGGAGGAGGAGGAGGGAGGAGAAGGAGGAGGAGGAGGAGGAGGAGGAGGAGGATTTCGGCTGGTGGTGGACGGACGCTGTACGCCCCCAGGTTGTGCCCAGGAGGGGGGGGGGAGCCCGCGGGAGAGGGGGCGCGGCCAGGAGGGACGGCGAGCGTCGCGGGCCGCGAGCGCCAGGGGAGGGCCAGGAGAGGGCCAGGAGAGGGCCAGGAGAGGGCCAGGAGAGGGCCAGGAGAGGGACAGCGAGCGGAGACGCGTGCAGGGAGCAGCGGCTGGGAACAAGGGAGCGGGCACTGGCGGCCAGCCCGGGGGAGGGAAGCGACGATGGGGGGGCGGGCCTTCTCGGAGGGCTCGGGGAGCCCTCTGGCCTCTTGGAAGAAGTCTTCTGGGCCTTCCCCGAAGGCACAGAAAGAACCTCTCAGAAGGGCCGCCTTCTGAGAAGGCCTCCTCCTTCTCACTCCCCCCCTTCGCTCGCCGACGAAGGCAAAGAGGAGGCAGGGCGGGGACCACGGGAGGGGCAAGGGGGGAGTAGGCAGGGAGTTGGGGCGGGCAGGCGGACTTCAAGAAGAGGGGGAGGAGAACACGAAGGCGGGGTTCCTTCGCCTCTTTCCACTCCCCCCCCCTGACCGCGGCACAAGCTCCTTCCGATCTGGTCGTGAGCCAGGCTCGGGCGGGCCCGAACCGCGGGAGCGCGCGCGGCGGATGGCGTGGAAGGGGGGCGAGGGAGGTGGCAGCAAGGGGGCAGAGGGCGCAGGATGGGACGTAGAGGTTTTGCGATATGCCGCTTGTACCCAAGCGTAGATGCACGGATGCTGCGACGCGGGGGACGCCTGCGCCAGAGCCAGAAAACCGGGCAGGATCAGCCTTTGTGGCAGTGCCGTGTGGAGAGCCTGCCCGTGTCCATTAGAGGGAGTGTCCCCCTGCTGCTCCTACTCCTCCTGCTCCTGCTCCTGTTCCTGCTGCTGCTCCTCCTCCTCCTCCTCCTCCTCCTCCTCCTCCTCCTCATCATCATCATCATCATCCTCCTCCTCCTCCTCCTCCTCCTCCTCTTCCTCCTCCTCTTCCTATTCCTCCTCGCTCGTCATCATCATCATCATCATCATCATCATCATCATCATCATCATCATCATCATCATCATCATCATCATCATCATCATCATCATCATCATCATCATCAATCATCATCATCATCATCATCATCATCATCATCATCATCATCATCATCATCATCATCATCATCATCATCATCATCATCATCATCATCATCATCATCATCATCATCATCATCATCATCATCATCATCATCATCATCATCACCATCATCATCATCATCATCATCATCATCATCAGCATCATCATCATCATCATCATCATCATCATCATCATCATCATCATCATTATCATCATCATCAGCATCATCATCATTACAACCATCACCACCACTAGCACCACCACCATCATCATCAGCATCATCAGCAACAGCAGCAGAATCATCATCGTCATCACCATCGTCATTAGCAGGTTCATCATCAGCGACATGATCCTTACCATCAACCACAACATTACCATCATCACCATCAATATATGATCATCGTAACACTCATATACATACACTCACCATCAGTAGTATCAACAACAACATCAGCAGCATCATCATTACAAACAGCATCATCACCACCATCATAACCATCATTATCAGCATCATTGTCATGATCATCATCAGTTTCAGTATCAACATCAGCATCATCAGCACAATCGTAATCAACAGCATCATCATCATCATCATCACCATCATCATCATCATCATCAGCATCATCATCATCATCATAATCAGAATCGGAATCATCATCATCAGTTTCAGCATCGTAATCATCATCGTCAAAATCAGCATCACAACAATTATCACCAGAATCATCATCATCACCATCATCATCATAACCAGCATCATCATCATCATCATCATCATCCTCATCATCATCATCAGCCGCATCATCATGGTCATCATCAGCATCATCATCAGCAGCAGCATCGTCATCATCAGCATCATCAGCAGCATCGACATCAGCAGCATCATCAGCATCAGCATCATCCAAATCACCATCATCATCATCATCATCATGATCATCATCGTCATCATCATCATCATCATCAGCATCATCATCATCATCATTATCATCATCATCGTCATCGTCATCGTCACAATCATCATCATAGTCAGCAGTATCATCATCATATCGTTGTCGGCGTCATCAGCATCATCAGTATCATCAGCACCACCATGCTCATCAGAATCAGCATCATCAGTACAATCATCATCATCAGCAGCATCATCAGCAGCATCATCAGCAGCATCATCATCAGAATCATCAGCAGCAGCATCAGAGTCATCATCATCATCAGCATCATCGTCATCATCATCATCAGCATCATCATCATCAGCATCGTCATCATAATCACAATCACCATCACAATCAGCAGCATCATCATAATCATCAACAACGTCAGCATCAGCATCATCATCAGCATCATCATCAGCATCATCAGCAGCATCATCGCCAGCATCATCATCACCATCACCACCAATATCATCATCGGCATCAGCATCCTTATCCGTAGAATAATTAGCAATACCATCACCATCATCATCAGCATCATAACCATCAGCATCGCCATCATCAACAGCATCAGCATCATCGTCCGCATCATCATCATCCGCATCATCATCATCGTCAGCGTCATCGTCGTCCGTAGTACCATCGTCATCATCGTCTTCATAATCAAAACCAGCATCATCGCCATCATTATCAACAGCATCATCATCATCGTCAGTACCCTCACCATCAGCATAATCGTAAGCAGCAGAACCATCAACATCTGAGTCAGCATTAGCATCATCACCATCATCAGATCAACAGCATCATCATCAGCCACTTCCTCACCATCGTCACAATCAGCACCATCATCGTCAGCAAGAGTATCGACATCGTCATCGTCGTCAGCAAGAGTATCAGCAGAATCAGCACAAGTATCGTCGGCATCGTCATCGTCATTATCATCATCAACATCATCAACATCATCATCATCCTCGTTATTGTCAGCACCATCAACATCATCATCATCAACAACTTCATCATCATCAGCCTCATCATCCTCCTCCTCTTCCTCCTCCTCCCCCTCCTCATCATCATCATCATCATCATCGTCATCATCATCATCATCATCATCATCATCCTCATCATTCTCATCATCATCATCATGATCATCATCATCATCATCATCATCATCCTCATCATCATCATCATCATCATCATCATCAGCATCATCATCATCATCATCATCATCATCATCATCATCATCATCATCCACGTATCATGTCTCCTCCTCTCCGTTGCGTCCTGCCTCTCCGCCGTACTGTCCTCGTCCGCTTTCTACTCCTCCTCCCGCTCCTCCTCAGCCCCCTTCTTCACACGCACCCTCATCATCGTTTGTTACAAAAGTGGACGAGGCGCCTCTAAAGATGCGCAGTGTCCGCCTGGCGGGAGCGTCGCTCGGACGCCAGCAGCAGCAACGCACCTCTTTCACTTTGAGAGTGGCAACTCGTGGTGAGCTCTTGCACGAGCTCTTTCATAATGCGGTTCACGCACAGCTACCCGCAGCAGCGGGGGGGGGCAGCAGGAGCACGACGTGTGGAGGAACGGCGAAGGATTAAAAAATAAAGATGAGCGAGATACGGAGGCGGCGGAGCAGAAGGGAGGGACGGGAAGAATCACAAAATAGAAAGACACGCAGGAAGACAAACGGAAAGGGGCGGGAAGCAGACGGACTGATCCGCAGACGGTGAATCCGACTTGAAACCAGACTCGGAATCCGTCAGACCCCTTGCAGGGCCACCAATCTGCGCGGTAATTAGGGAACTCAACAACATGGCCACACTGCATTCCGCTGGATAGCCCTGCGCCTGGGCGTCAGAAG